GATGTAATATTATTTTATGCACTGTCATCATTTTTCATATATAGGGACTTTCATCATGTGAATTTTAACTCTCATGGTCCTGACATTGTAATCTTATTGAAAGGGTGGATTAAGACCATCTTCTGGGTCTCCTGGAAGACAGTCAGATTTTACAGTTTATATTAACGGGTTTCTGTTGGAAGACTATCAAAATGGAGGATGGATCAACAAAGATACTTTGGAATACTGTCAGAAAATATCTCTGAATCTGCTCCTGTTATTGACCATGTTACCTATTGTGCATGATTAAAAATCAGTGTTGACTGACTGTGCTATTATAAGCATTTATTATTGCATCAAAATTGACATAATGACCTATTTTGCATCTTTTTTTTTTCTGTTTTTTGTCTGTACATTTGACAGCTTTGCTGCCTTGTCTAGTACTGCATCTTTATCTGCAACTTTTAGAAGTAGTTCTAATTTTGTTTTCTAATATGCATGCTAACCAGGATTATACTAACAAAACGAAAAAAAAGAAACCCTCAGCACAACTCACAAAGGATCTGCTGCCATATTTATATGGATCTGAAAAGTGTATTTATATCAACATAATTGGGGAAATTGTAACAACGTCACTTACCAGAACTTCACTGTGTTGGGATCTTTCCAATGAGATGTGACTTATTTCTGTTGGGACACATGTCTTAGATAACGTTAAAAAAAGTCAACGTCCCATAAATATTTGACGGACGTATGAACTGTTTCCTCACACTAAAATTTGTCTTCAGTGATCTGTACTGTCACTTCAAAGCTCTGGTCGAGTGGGATTTACAGTTGAAAAAAAATGTAAAACAAAATAATAAAAAATTGTCACCCTAAAAGAACAGCAATGGTTTCAGTTTATGTTTTTGTACATTTTAGCTAGTTTGATTGATTTCTGTTCTTTTATCTTTACCACTGTTCTGTAACAACATTTGACAGCAAATAATGTGTTCATTTTGAGGCTTGCAAATGTTTTTTAACCCTTAGAACATTCTTTTTGCAATTAATTGCACATTTCACAAATCTATTAGATCGTTTTATGGGTAAAGATGGTTTAATGAATATTTTCATTATTGGGTCAACAATTACAGAAATATGTGTTAGAGGTCAATTTTTAAATTGTTTTATTTTCAATAAAAAACCTAGTGACATTGACCCATTTTTGAACTGTTATATCTGGCAAAATTGAATATCTTAATTGTACATGACTTTACATAATATTGTATAATTTTATAATGTATTGTTTGGCAGATATTTGGTGTACAGTTGATTTTTATACGAGGATAAACATGCAAAATAATGTATTCTTATAGTAAATAGGAATCTTCGCTTGTTTTTTCTCTTTTTATGCATTCATATATTTTGGTATTATTTCTGTAGTTGTCCTTTCTTAGCTATTTAGGTATAACTTAATATTTTATATTCAAGCACACATTTATGCAAACATTCCTTCTTAAACATATTTATTTCGATGTCTATCCATCTTTGCCTAAGATCATATTTCAATATCCTTATCTACAAGATATATATACACATGTTGTAGCAAATTATAGTCATTTCATCTAATTCTAGTCAAAATATTTCAGTACTTTTTTATTATTAAAAATATAAGAATAATTTTGAAATAAGTATTTTTGATCCTAGTCTTATTATGTCCCCTCTAAATTCCTATTTTCATTATGGGTTATGATTCTAGTGAAAATTAGGTTGAAGTTCTACATTATAGACAGAAAAAACTTAAATTGATAGGCAGGGTGTTTAAAATCCCTGTATCTTTATTTATCAATCAAATAATCATGTAGCTTGTATAGGGAATAAATATGGCAAAATTAGTTAAGTTACTGTTTTTGTTGTTTTTCTCTCTGTGCTTTCATTTCTGAGATGATAAAACAAGGTTTAAAATGCTGTTTTTGATACATTTTGATGGTTGCATGTTTCTAATGCACGAACTACTAAAATTAGCCAGTTATGATTTAAAACCATGCCAAATACAGAATAATTTTTAGAATAATCCATTTGTTCATCTTTTCTCTGTTGATAAAGTTAAATCTCAAATATTTAACAATCTAAACAGCTTTGCTATTCTACCGTCTTTCTTTCTTTCAAATCACCATTCTTTTTCTCCTAATCAACTTTCAACTTCTCTCTTAATTGATCACATAAATTTCAGATTTTTTACCTGCTGTCATATTTGCAAGATGTGCACCATTAAGAAAGACCTTATGCCCAGTACAATCATTCTGAAAGATCTTACTCTAAATTGATACCTATGTCTTCTTTCAGGTGCCAAGAAGCTAGCACGTCCCAAGTCCCTATGTGTAGCCACGCCCACCAAACTGCTGTCACTAGAGGAGGCCCAGCAAAAACAGAAATACATAGAAGTAGGAGGAGGTCCTGCTGCCTTGCCTGAATTCCACACTATACTAGAACATCCGTAAGTACTGATTTGTTATAGTTATATATTATATAAGTTCTAAGTAATAATAAATTTAGTAGAAAGATTAGAGCCTAGATGGAACCTGAGGTACACCAAGCTTGCAACATAAAGGTATTGCAGAACAATCAGTAATCCACACAAAACAAAGGCAGCTTACTACATATATAGAGGTACAAAAGGTGTACTACTGTAGAAAGAGTTAAGGTGCTACCTCCTTGGCAATATTGTGTATTGTCTTCAGGTGACCTTTTCTTCAAAGGAAAATTGGCAAGTTTTATACCGGGAATATATAAGTCTGTAAAAAAATTACTTTGAAAATGGTATGACTGCTGCTGACAGTTAGTGACATGTTTTCACTGATATTTTCAGTCGTAAGCGGAGCAGAAAGTCTGGAGGTTGGAAGGCTCTGTTCAAAGGCAGTGGTGGGAAGACAAGTTCTGGTGCTGCTAAACCTAAATACAGAAAGAGTAGCACCCCAGGTGAGATAAGTGAGTCACACCTTTTGTTGTCTTTGTTTTCTGCACTTTCTTAAGATACATGTCATGGCACTGGGAATTTCTGTAACTGGTGTATTTATGTCATTGTATTCATCTGTGTAGTAGTGCTTTAATTTAATTTAAAGTATTTTGGATTTTCTGGATGTTTTCTAATTTGAATATTGTGTTTTTGTCAGTTCTTGTAGCACAGGTTTAGTACAAGTTTTGATTTGAATAAGTTTTGGTTTACAAATTACATCTCTTTTATACAACTGAACACAGGTAAGTTAATTAAACCAATTGAGTGTATTTTCCTTTTTGCCTCATTAGCTGATAAAGAAGTGAAAGTCACGAGGTCATTTGTATGTCTGAATGAAGGTATATTGGCTTATTAAACAAATTAAATGATAAAAAATCATCTTGAACTTTCTAGTGCCCTCCAAGTTTTCCGGTAAACAACATAACACAGATGTAAGCAGAGGTGACACGAGGAGGAAACTACGCATGGTAAAAAGTGCCGACTCCTTGGCTACCATGTCTGCACTGCCACACGCAGGGGCCCTGATTGCCAACCCATATGCAGGTAAGACACAGGGAAATATTACACCTTCTTTTGGGGAAACTTTCAGGAAATGTTTACAAGATGAGGTTGTATTTTCGTGTACTTTTGTGCTGTTGATATTTTCAAATGGTAAAGAAATATTGGTAATTTGGAATGGTGAAGAAGTATTTGGGTGAATTGATGTTTGTTCCCACAATTTAAAATGTTTATAGGAAAAACATGATCAAATGTTTTTCTTGTTTACGAGCAAAAGTTTATAATATAAAGCATTTCAAATAAAATCTGTTTTGGACTCAGACTAGGATTGTAAAGCTTCAAAAACATTTATAAACATACATTTCATTGAATGCAATATTTATTATATGTTTTAAGGGATGTCAATACATTTATTCCAGAAGAGAGTCCCAAGTTAGAGCGACCCAAGTCAGTAGATGACAGTAGTATCACTACGGGAACCACAGTGGTAGAGGCTCCCATGCCAAGGTCTAACTCCCTAGAGTCCTACTTTGAAATGCCAATAGATGCTGACGCTCAGAGTGGTAAGATACAAGACAGTTCATTTATTGTTCAACTTTTGAATCTTTTTCAAAGAAAAACAGTGGAATTTCAGATTGAGAGTAGTTATATTTGTGTTTTTTCCATGGTATTTTGGCGTCAGAGTTAAAAGCCTTGATAGTCTGTGAGTTAAATAGTACAGTTTGCTTGTAATGTTATTTATCATCCAAATGCTATATTACAAGACCATTAAAATAAACATTGAAATTGTTCCACAGCTGAAAGAAATGAGGGTGAGGGGCAAAGAAAGTCATATTGTTGTAGGTTTTGTACTAGAATTTATTTGGTACGGCAAAGGACTGACCTATGTATTTTATCTTTCCAGATGTCACTGAGGACTCGATTGTGTCTGAGCAAGCAGTCTCTCAGAAACCCAGCAAAAAGAAACAGCGAACAGCATCAGAACCTTCCACCCCTCAGGAACTCAAAGTGTTTGAAATAGAACTTGAGTCAAAGAAGTCCCACAGGTCGCCATCTTTAAAACAAAAAATTGCAAAAGCTCTATCACCTAAGGCTCGACGGAAGAGAAGCACTCCATCTCCTAGTAACAGCAAACGTTTAGTCTCTGCACCCATATTGCAGACACCTCCAAGTTCAGAGAGCTCCTCACCTTTATGCCACAAGTCATTTTCATTCAGCGATTCTGCATCTCTTGAGGAAAAATTTCAAAGCAAGAATGGAGGAGGAGGAAGCGGGGTGTTCTATGTCCCCAATGAGACCCAGGAGCCAGGGGAGATCCTGGAGCTGGCTCACAGCCCTGGTGCTAAGAGAAAATCTGTGCGGAGATTCTCAGAGTTTGACTCCGCGGAAGATGTCAGTCAAGACACGTCACAGACGTTAGAGGCCAGTCAGAGTGATGGTAATTTGTCTAGCAGCACGCTGGATTTATCCATAGAGAACCTGAGCACAGAAAACTATAACTTGGTGGAGGAAGTGCAGTCTGCTATCCAGGAAAGAGGACAGAAGGATTCCAGTCCCGATATTCTTGGATCCCGTAGTAGTGAGCAAGATTTGTTCGAGGCTTCCAAGGATTCGAGTGCCCAGTCAGTGCCAAATACAAATGACTCTGTGTCCAGTTACACAAAGGAAGATTCAGAACAGTCACCTGCTGCTCCTTCCGAGCAGAGGAAAAGTTTAAAGATTGAACTTCGCTTGGGTACACCGGACAGTGATAAATTCCCAAATTTGATGCTCACGTCATCAGACTCTTTATTTTCTGCCAACAGTGATTTAAAAACCCCAGACAGTGATGTCATAACCCTGGACAGCTCGTCCACCATTAACTCTGAAATCATGGAGCAATGGTCTCGGACACTAGGAGCAGACTCAACAGCTGAAAGCTGCGACAATCTCAGCTGTCATTCCTGGAATTTTGCCAATAATGAGGATCGACGGCTGTCACAGTCAAGCGATGAGTATTTTTCCACCCTGTCTCGTGACAGTGAGCAGGGGACATTAACACGCAGTGACTGGGGCACACTCAGAGACAGTAACTTTGATACACTGAGTGATTCTGGGGGTCATATAGACTATTCCTCGGAGGTTGGGGACCAGGGAACTCTGACACGTAATCATGAAGGAAATCAGGCAGAACCCCAAGAACAGACAGATTTCCTGTCAGATTCAGAACTTATTCCAAAGGAAACTTTAGATTTGATAACAAGTGGTGCCAGTTTTGACCACTTAGGAGGGATAACCACCTTAACTGCTGACAACACAGAGGGGAGTGGTCTGACAGCTACACAGGGGTCCAAGGAGAGCACCACCAGCACCACCACATTTCTGGAGACAGACATTGATTTACTGGACAGCAGTAACAGCCATGGAGCACCGTCACCAGTGGCATCTTTAACATCTCAGTCCCCATGTCCCCTGTCACCAGACATGGTGGTGTCACCTGTCAGACAGGAGTCTGTTGACGACCCCGCTGTGTCACAGTCCTCGGAATTACCATTGGAACAGCGACCAGCCTTCACTATGTCTCTGTCATCAGACGGAGGTCTGGGTGACAGTGGTGAATATGATAACGCATTAAACCGTAGACACAGTTCCCAGGGTTCCTTGCACAGTGGAGATTACGACAACGTGATATCCCACAGACATGAGTCCCTGGGGTCACTGCTGGACCAGATCACGCCCGACGGAAGCTCCTCTCTTGCCTCAGAAGATCTCCTTAGTCAGCTCATGCCACTGTCTGATGTGGCGGAGACTTCTTTACCCAACACCACAGAGGATGCTCCGCCTGTTGATGGTGGTAGTCTGGGGGAGTGTGAACCTGCTGAATCCAGTGCCATAGTAGAGCCAGCACCTGACAACACTGAGACTGCTGATGGTGAAGAGCAAGCACCTGTAACAACTGACACCACTGAGGGAACAGTTGGGGATGTAATAGAGGAACAGGTGCCCCCTGTAACAAACATTGAGGATGAGGCACCATGTGTGACAAGTAGCAGTGAGGAATTGGTACCTGTTAGCACTGTCATGTCTGTTAGTACAGGAGATCAAGACAACAATCTAAGTGCTGAAGTTAAGACCCTCCCCACAGAACCTACAGAACCTCCTGTAGCTAGTGAAGAAATAGATGAACATGTAGATAAAGTCCCTGCACCAAGTCCTGTTGTGACTGAGACAGACAGGGAAGATGTTATTGTTGTGAAACCTAGGAAAATATTAGTTGTTAAACCAGACTCTGTTGACTCAGATACAAAACCAGCACCTGCTCAAGATGTCAAACCAGACTCAGAAATGTCTGATGACAACACAGTGTCAGGTGAGAATGTTTCGGGTTTGCCATTTAGAGACAAGAGCAGCCCAGTGGATGACTCTACCCTCTATAGTCCCAGGGGTATAGGTCTACCCCACCGAGAGGAAAGTGTGGTTCTACGGCGCAGAGAGATCACTGCACCAAGTTTCCCATCTCCACGATCTCAGATGGTGACTCAAGTTGACATTAGTGATACATTTGTACAGGCAAATCCAGCACAGGCTAGTTCAGTACAGGCAAATCCAGCTCAGCCAAGTCCAGCAGAGGCAAGTCCAGCACAGGAGAGTTCAGTGCTGGCAAGTCCAACTGAGGAAAGTTCTCCGCCTATAGTCAATGATCAACCAACTCAACACAAGAGACTAATACGACCTTTTGAATATGAAGATGACAGTATCTTCAAGTCATATAAAAGCACAGATAGTGGCAGTGACTCTAGTAGTTTAGAAAGAGACAATATTCCAGCTTGGGACTATGGACGTTCTGAGAGTAAAAAAGGAATTCAGAAATTTGATAGGGATAGAAGACAGGAAAGGTGGAAAAATAGTTCACAAAAGAAAGATGGTGATGCCACTACAAAGAGTGGAAGACCATCTAGTATTGGTGACAAGGTGGCGTTGTTTAGTCAAAGTCAAGACAGCACAAATCAAAATGTGATCAAACATGATGGAACGCAAGCTGGGGAGGTACGGGCCTATGTCCTTAGGCAGCCTAGGTTAGAACCTCATGTGTCCAGTGACACTAGCTCATATGTAAAAGATAATTTTAACATAGAGGAGTCAGTAGACAGTGAGGACAGTTGTTTTGGAAGCTTTCCAAGACGATCCAAAAGAATGGGTCAAGTGGAGACATCTAGGGATTTGTCAACACCACACCAGTACACTCCAACAGCTCAGGATGACGGCATGAAGACACCAAGTATTGACTCAGCAGGTTCTTCTGCTCCACAGAGACACCATTCAGGTGGTTCCAGCGTCTCTCACCCAAGTTTTAAAAGTGTTGCACCTCCTTCTGAGTCTCAAGTTGTGTCTACGCCCAAAACCATCCAGGTCCAACATGGCAGGGTGCAAGGACGGGCTAAGAAACCTCCGCTTCACGACAGTAAGGATGATAAAAGCAAAGAGGACATGAGAAGATATATAGAGAAACCAGTGGAAATCATTGAAAAGCAGCCAATATCCACATCTAAAGGAAAAGAGGACAGTGCTGGTGGTCCTGAAAAGGTCAATTCTGATTCAGGAGCGAAAAGAACTGCACTTGTGCAGAGAAAGAGCAGTGTGAGAGCTCTAATGTCACAGTTTGAAACTAAAAGTGGTCCTGATTCTGAAGCAGTGGATTCAGGGAAAAGCCAGAAGCAAGAGCTGACTGAAGAGAAAGATAAACCACATTCTGTGTTATTGTCAAGACAGGACAGTACCAATACCTCAGACTCTAGTCTGATCACCATGACCCCCGGTGACTCTGACAGCCTGGGCAAGCTGTATCGTAGAGGACTGTCACATGAACAAGGTCAAGGTCGTTACTCTGGGCGTAGGTACGGGCCCAGTGAGGAGCCAATAGTACGTCCCAGCATGCTTCGTAAGCTTTCTGCTCCACCAGTATTTACTGGGGCTGGTCACACAGAGTTTTCTCTGCCTTCACAGACAAGTCAGTCCTCTTCTCCTATGTCACCATCATAGTGTTAGCAAGATACAACTGAGATTGTAGGAATACTGATAAATATGTGCTTTAGCAAACTCATGATTTGATGGAATTTTTTTCTTTAAATACAAAGAATGTGCAAAGGAATTTGCTGTTACTGGTATTTTAGTGCTTGCATCTTCATTTTTAAGACTAAGTAGAATTCTACAGTTTACACTCAGAATTTCATGGTATCATACTGCTGTTGTTTTAAGGACAATTGAATGGGTAACCAGTTTCAAAATTCATGTATATTGAAATAGAGAAAAGTAAGCCTCAGTTTTTATGGCTAAGGTCAGCATTTTGTATCTTAAGAGGCTAAAAGAAGTAGTCTCAACAATACAGTGGTCTTTACTTCAAGCATTTGCATAGAATTTTTGCTTTTAGTGGTCTTGAATTTCAGCCATTGACATTGGTATTTGTATATTAAAATACTTTCATATTTTATTTACTCTTTTATGCAGTTTTGAATGGCAACCAAGCTAGTATTATTGATAAATCTTGCAGGAGTATTTTACAACAGGCTTGTAGGCAATTTCTTAATTTTATTCAATTTTTACAAGCATTTATTATCCTGTAAACTTGCAGCAGCAGGATCAGACGCAGTGCATCATACTATGTCATAATGATAATACATCATGTTTGTTTTTCATTCTGAACAAGGAAACTGTTTGACCTATTTCTATATAAGCGGTCAATCTGTGTCAGTATTGGAATTGTGTGTACGTGTAAATACTCATCTACTGCCTTGTATATAATGCCATTTTCACCATCGTTGACTGGGGAATGTACTTATTACATGTGTATGTAAACGTCATTGATTTGACTGTGCTTGACGAGGGACATGTTCAGATGTGTGTGTTTTGGACCTGTGTGTAAAAGACAGGGCGGTATATACTCAAGAGTAACTCTGCTTTTACTACAAAATGTTTCATAAATGTCAAGGTCATGTTCCTTAGTGTTTGCATTTGAAAGTAAAAATAGTTTATTCATCAACTTACAAAAGCGGTACCATAAAACTGTTTCAGCAGTTGAAGTCATGTTTGCTTAATCTTATAAATGTATTGAAATGCATTTTTATAAATAAATGAAACCAAATTTATTTTTTGTTTGTTTGTAATTATGAGCTCATATTTCACCCCTGCTATAAATGAAAAAATTCCTCGTCTCAACCCTGCTTCAAGTTTACATGTTAAAAACTACTACTGCAGTCAAACAGTGACTATATGTTAAATCTATTTTCATTCAAGATTTAAGGTAGTACTTGTGAACTCTAATACAAGAGGTCTAACAAATAACTTGACTGTCAAACAATCAGTTTTACTGAATACAACTTACAAAATGTCCAGGAATGGCGTGTTTTTTCAGTGAACAGTCTTGTTAAAAAGGCAGTCAATCGGTACTGTGCCTTCAATCTATTGCCTATCCAGTGTCAGAGCCCGTCAAAGGGATTTTCCATGGTGGTAATAATATTGCCAGTCCCAATCATATTCGGATGAAACTAAGTTGTTTAAAGTCATGACTAATAAGACCCCATTCCCATAGATATTTAAATCGATCTATCCCCCTGGGGAGTCTCACTGGATTGGTGTCGGCTTAACAAGCTTAAATGTCTGTCCCGCCCTCCAAAAGCTGTAAGGGGGTAATTAACTATGGTGCGCGCTCGGCTGACTGCAATTTAGCGTGAACCCCCAGGAAGTTAGGTCGATCTGAATCTAAATCTCTGGGAATGCACCCTTAGTCTCCCTTCATGCAATTTGATGTGATACGATAAGCAATCTACAAAAAAAAATTGAAACAAAAATCTCACCAAAAACGAAAAAACGAACAAAAAGACCAACATACTTGCGAAAATTATTTTGTAAGTAATAACCAACTACGGGGCCTTACAACTTTAAAAAAATAAAATTGTTCGCTATGTTCCGTGCGATCTTTTGACATCGTTTCTGTCTGGAATGATCTGTTGAAAGGGGGGCACATGGAGTAATGTGTTAAACCTCTGTCTCAACCGGTCGCACGGGCTCTTACAGCCGGTTTGCGTCCAAAATGTGTGCAGTATCTCACGTGCCACAGGTCTTTCTTGCGAAATTGTGCTTTGCAATTAGCGTTCCTGTTTGAAAAATCATCTCACGTGGCTCCTGCGACTTGCAAGACAGACTTGCGCCTTTCTAACGCATTTCTGACAAAGCCCTTGCAACGTTTTCTGTACATCTCCACGGCCTCCACTGCACCAAAATTCGCAGGGGATGTGCGATCCTAAAATTCGCGCGCACGGTTGTCGCCGAGGCATTTATATCATCAAGATTAGATTACTGCAATAGTCTCCTCTTTGGTATTTGTGACTATCAGATTAAAAAGTTACAAGTTATTCAAAGCTCAGCTGGAAGACTGGTTTGTCAAATAAAGTGCAATAGTACACACCATATCACTCCCATTCTGAAAGAATTACACTGGCTGCCTGTGAAGCAGAGGATTGATTATAAAGTACTTTGTATTATTTTAAGGCGATCCATACACAAGGACCAATATATTTATCTGATCTTATCGGTCCACACGTTTTAATACTGAGAATTACCTTATTTTAGAACAATCTGTTTTAGAGAAGGGGTCTCTCAAAAGTTATGGTGATCGGACTTTTACAATCTACGCCCCAAAGTGTGGAATGCCTTACCAAATTTTATTAGAATAGCAGAAGACTTTGACAGAACTACCATTTTAAATCCCTTCCTAAGACCCACCTTTTTAAATCTTAAGATTTTGTATATATTTTAACAGGATTGAGGTTTTAGTAGTGTTAATTTTAAATGGTTTCCAATGAGTGTTTTAGATTTAAATATTGTTAAAGTAGTCATTTTAATTATTTTAGTTATATAATCCATTATTGTAAGGCGCCTTGAGGTAGCATGTAAGGCGCCATATAAGAAGCTTATTATTATTATTATTATTATTATTATTATTATTATTAACTCAGTTGACGTGCACTCTCCGTGCAGCTTGATGACTGTTGGTTTTCGGTGGAGCAAGTGCGTTCTTGAGTACTCGGGTGATCCTGATGAAGACACACACATCTTCAAATGAAAAAAGAAACATATTTCCTATTGTAATACCTTTAAAATACCACAGAGGAGATAGGAAAAGACGACCAGCAAGAATGCCCCAGAACTACCATGCGGTGTGTTGTGTGACACGTTTTCATATCATATACTCCATATTTCTACAAGTGTTCTCTGCTCAAAATACCAAAAGAAAAAAGATTATCTTGGCATGCCGTTAAAGATCAGCCTCAACTTCGTGCCCACGGCTACACTCACGCGTAATTCCAGCTAACTTCACGTCTTACACTAAGTCACAAGACGCAGGCACAATCTTATCTCCTCCTTATTAATAACACTACCTAGGCTACCTATCTTAAAGGAATACAGCTGTTCCTACGATATCCATATTACACAATAAATACATTATAATTAATTGTATTTTACCACCAAAACGGCGGTTAACGCAATTATTCTGGAATTTTTGTGTTTGCCATCACATCACGTGACCTCCAAAGAAGACCACACTCTGTAATAATCTCTTAAGAGAATATTACAAAAAACAAACTTTAAAAAAAAACAGGGATTTACTTTGAATGTCAGAACGGATTCATTAACCATTGGTAAGTATGGGATAATTGTCCTTTACCCCAGGAAAATTCATTTTTTTTTGGCCAAAATGAACAGCTGTTACCCCTTTAAGGTATCACATATAGGCACTGACTTACTTGTCTTCAAAATACTGACCTACTTTAAAGTAACTACAAAACACACAGCACTTCCTCAGTTTCATTCCAACCGTAAACTGAAAGAACCTTGAGCAGAGATTTGTCCAATTGGTTTGTTACAGGTAAGTATCTTCTCCTCACAAAAAGCAAATAAAATGTGAAAACAGAAGTACGAAAACGTATTTGAAAGCATGTCTGGTTTATAAGAAGGAAACAAAGAGTAAAACGAAAGTAGAAACATCACGAAGGGGCGGATCCTAGCACTTTTTCTAACAGTTTATCTAATCCCGGCCCAGCTACATACATGCAATTATTATTTATCATCATCATCATCATTAACATTATTATTTATATTATTATTATCATAAATTTGAAAAAATATTAACATCAGTAGTTAAAATTCAAAGGGAAGAATTTCTTTAAAAAGTGTTAAGTATAATCTACAATGTAATATCATAAGGAAATATTATGTAAGAAGCGAAGGGGGCAGATAACTTTTAAATGAATTAAATATGTGAAGTAGTTGGCACGAGACCAGCCATAAGACAGGCCAGGCCTAGGAAGGCGAGATGAACTTTTTTATTTAACATATAAATGCGGTCTATCACGTAATGTACAACATTGGTCAAAAAGGTTGTCCCACCTCCAGTATCACGTGCTTTTATTTATATATGATCACATCACAGAAGTTTATTGCTATGAATGGTGATTTTTATTCCAGATACCATAACTAACATGATTAGTGAAACAGAAAAGACAAACTAGCGATGAAGATATCAATATTTAATATCATTTATTCACATTTATTACATGTACCCCCTCAAACCCGACTTTTCACCCTGATTTTCACAGAGGTAAAGAAATGCCTATGATATTGAAAAGACACCTCCAAATGTCACCAAATTGACACACATCTAGCATGAGGGTGTGGTCGTTAAAGGTCACGTGTCAAATAGCGAGTGTGTCTACCGCGTGCTGTAATTATCTCCTGTAGGCGGCGTTGCCTGCTTTCAACAAGGATAACAATTCTGTTTTGTGGAATATTGTCCCATTCTTCCTAAAGAGCTTGGGGGAATTGATCCAGATTATTACGAGTTTGTTTCTCCTTTACATTGCACACATCAATTCATGCAACAGATGCTTAGTAGGGTTAATATCAGGGTCCAAAGATGGTTGCTCCATCCTCTGAACATTGGGTTTCTGTAACAAATCACTCAGCAACTCAGCAGACGAGAACTGATTGCAAGTGCATTTCCATGATGAGGCCTGTAGTATCTCTGAAGCCACCCCTTACTAATGGAGTGAGATATTTGTTGAGAATGTTTCAGTGAATTGCCCCAATAGCGTTCTTTTCCGGAAAGAACAATGTACTTAAACCATGGGCTTGGATTGCTCTCCAAACATGAACTGACCTGACACCTCAGGCGATATTAACCTTCACACACCTTCCGAAAAGTATTCTGCAACATGTCTACAGGCTCTAATTTGACCATCGAAGGCAAACAAGAAAAAATTTGATTCTTCAGCAAAACCAACTTGTTCCTAGTGATGGTTGACCACGTTCTGGTAGTGCTGGGGTCACTGGACCTAACATAACCAACTGATACCTCATTCCATCTGCAAGAAAGGACTTCAGGGTTGACTCAGGCTTCATCATGAAAGCACACTTGCACACAGTTCTCGTCTGTTGCATGATTTGTTGCAGAAACCCAATGTTCTGAGGTTGGAGAAACCATCTTTGAGTCCTGATAATAAACCCACTGAGCATCCGTGGCATGAATTGAAGTGTGCAATCCAGAGGAGAACTCCAAGTAGTCCGGACCAATTCCGCCAAGCTTTTTAGGAAACATGGGACAATATCCCACAAAACAGAATTGTTACCCTTCTTGAAGGCAGCGGCGCCGTCTACAGGAGGTAATGACAGTACACAGTAAACAAACACGCAAAAAGACACCCTAATGCTAAATGTGTGTAAATTTGGTGATATTTGGTGGTATCTTTTTAATTTAATGGGCATTTCTTTACCTCTGTGGAAATAACAGTGGAACATCGGATTAGAGGGGGTACATGCAATAAATATGAATAAATGGTATTAAATATGGATATCTTCACCGCTAGTTTGTCTTTTCTGTTTCACTAATCATGTTAGTTATGGTATCTGGAATAAAAATTACCATTCATAACAATTAACTCCTGTGATGTGATCATATATAAATAAAAGCACATGAAACTGGGGGTGGGACAACCTTTTTGACCAATGTTGTATATTATCCGAGGTCAATAAATATATACATGTAGATAAAGGCTTGTTATTGTGTCTATAGCAGTTGTCTTGTTGTGGT